GTGTTCTGATGAGTGTGTGGAGCTCTTATCCTTATGTCTTCCCCAGCAATAAAGCTGAGCCTGAGTCATCCAACATAATCTCGACGCATCACTGCATGGGAGCTGGTGATTCTGGCGCTCACCAGAGGGGCTGCCAGGCTCCTGAGGCCTCTGCAGGCAGCACACTGGGCTTCCCCAGCCTCTGAAGCATCATCCTCTGCTGAGCTGCTGGTGGGTGGGCAGAGCCAGCTGCCAGGTTGTGGGGAGAGGCAGGAATTATCCTGAGCATCTCCAGCAAGTAGAAAAAAGCGCCTGGGATGGGGGTTGAAGTACAAGGCACTATGTCACATCAGTGGAAAACAGAAAAGATGTAGTGCAAGGCAGAGTCTAGATCCCTGGAAAAGGACTACATGTTTCAGAGAGGCCTGTTTTTGTGATAGAGATCACACCACTATAAGTGGATCAAAATATTTGCTGGGTATCACCACCTGGAGTGAGGCACAGTTAAAAGAATGTCCACAAACCTCCACAAAACTTTCACAGGCAGCACTTCAAGTGCCTGTGTGTTTTCCCTCTGCTATCATCACAGGTTCTGAGGGGAGAAGGTCTCTTCTTTCAACACCACAAGAGGAGCTAAAGCTGGTTGGAAGCCCCGTCAGCAACCCTCAAAGACTCAATGACTTTGGAGACAGATTCTGTGTGAAAGGAAGAAAACATGAAGCTGGGATAATCAGCTCCTCAGTCAGTCACTACAGCATGAAAAGACTGCACAGATCCCTCCTTACTGATGGCAGAAGACCTGAAGCAGAAACACTGGGAAGCAGAGGAGGGGCAGGGTGTAGGAGCAGCACAAGCACTGTGTTGCACAATGACATCTGCTCTCTTTGGCAGCATTCCCAGAGAGCAAAAACCTCCTTTCTCATTCATAGTGCATTTATTTGTATTCTCTTTCAAAAAATGGTCCAGAGACATCTGAATCCTCAAACTGATAAAAATCTGCAGAATTTCTAGTGCTGCAATGAGTAGCAGTAGGAAACAGGACAAGGAAAGATATGGGATGTTATGCTAATTGTTTTCCTAACTGTGGAAATAATGTCTGTTTATTGACTCCTCTCCTGCTTCAGAATGACTCATTTATCTGCTGATGTAGACTTGGTGCAGGTAGGTTGGGCAGTGGGTTTGACAGCGTTAACAGGCTGTCATTGTGACAGGCGTGCTGGAAGGGGAGTGCACTGAGGAGAGATCCTCGTGGCCTGGAGACTGCCAGGGCAGCTTTCCACTTTCTGCTGAACAAAAGTTACATGGCTGGGGGTGTTCAAAGAAGTCTGATGGAGATGGAAAAACTCCACTGTAATGGAATTTATATTATCGTGTTTTATGTTCTTCTATTAAGGCTGATACTGGTGACAAGGTGAAATAGCAGGTCCAACTGAGGGATGCATAGTCATAGAACCTGGAGAAAACATAATTTTAGTTTGCCACACAGCCTGCTAGTGAGCTGGGAAAATCAGGGAATAAGGCTGACATCCTGGTTTTTTGGATGCTGTATTCTGGAGCAGGAGGAAGAGTGGGACTGGAAGAGCAGAGACATCAGTTCAGGGAAATTTGTGCAGTGTTGTTGGAACAGGGATGGGTAGAGTCTTATAGCAGTCAAGAGAAATAAAAGAGAAGAAAATGAATTGATCAGAAGAGGTCAATATGGCCTGCTGGTGGTAAGGAGAGGTAATGCAGAGATCATGCCTGTAGAGCTGTTGGCACTTACTTTAGGCAGGTCTAGGATATGATATTATTAGGCATGTTTATAAGCATGTAGCCAAGCAAGGAAGGAAAAGGTAAAAGGCTTGGTTGAAAGCCTAGTGTGATGCATCTTGCTGTAAAGCATCACTGTGACATACATGGACATTCTCTACTTGTAGCTTACATTAGTAAGAGAGAACAATTTATACAGAATATAAAGACAGAAGGTTTTCTGAGGCAGTCCCTGAAATATGACCAGGAGACTCTCTCGTGGAAATCCCTTGAGTTTGTTAATCTTGGTCAAACTTGTTTCAAACAGTCAATCAGATGTTGTTCACATACAACATTTCCTTCGGACTGGGGCCGTTCAGCACTGCCTGAAATACGATATGAGGTAAATATCTGTTCACACCTGCTCACTTCTTTGGGAAAAGTTGTAGTCTGTAACAGCTTGCATCAAATAATCTAAAATACATACCTGAGTCCAAGAACTAGTTTTGTTAGCTTGCAAATGCATCACTCCAAAATGTACAGCAACAAGAGAGACAAGGATGGTAGTTTAGAAGAGCTTTGTAGGGGACACAGTTTTGTCCATTTACACCATAGCACTGTATATTTAAATGGCCAGTGCACAGAAATGTTGGTTTATCAACTGTGCTTTTGGTTTGACCTAAATGACAGCTGATAATCTGATCTGGACATTGAGCCTCAGTGCTCACTATTCATGGGACTGTTTCTCCTTTAAAACACTGTCACGCTCTGGAATTTCAAATCAAAGCATGACCATCATCTCATTTAGTACTGCTATAATAAGGTTTAGGTCTTGTGTGTTTTTGAAACATCAGGCAGCGTGATTATAAATAAAGTTGCTTTGATGACTCACTACAGTAACACCAGGGCTTGTCTATAAAGATGAGTCAGAGTGTCAGAAAGTTAAGTGTGCACTTGATATAGAAAAACAATTTCACCTTCTCTTTTCCAACTGGGCACCTGTTCTGAACTCCCAGTGTCTTTGCACAGCTTTGCTTCAACTTGTTTAGGACTGCAGTGTGCTCTGGGCAGAAAAAATGTGCTCCATAGATTGCAATACCTCCTTTCCATTATGGACAAGCTCTCAGAGTAGGAGTTTAGAGCCCACTGGGACAAGAGTGAGAGAGAGAAAAGGAGCATTAACAGGGGAGAGAGGGCTCTGAAAAATCCTAGGCCACGATTGCACCCCTGGTGGGTGTTGGCTAGGCCCTCTGGGAGTGACCAGGGAGGTGTGACTGAAAGTGCTGTAACACATTTGTTTGTGTTGCGTTAACATTTTTCCAGCTAGTAGCAAATAGAGGGAAATTAAAAACCAGTAAAGGATTACAGCATCCTCAGGCTCTGGAGGACTCAGAGCCCAATGCTTTGGCAATTTTTCCAGTTGTTTGTGTCCACTTTACTTCATTCCCCCCGTGGCAGCGGAGCCATTCAGATAATGGCTGGGCCCCCCTCCCATTCTCGCAGCATGTGGGCGGTTCCCCCTTGGCAAAAGGCAAACCCTCTTCCATGTAGCCCCATATCCCAGGCACATTCCTCGGGAATGGACCAATCTGATCCTCTGATTTATGATGGAAAAATAACCAAATCAAAAAATGGGAGGGGAGATGACAAAAAGTTTGGGGCCTGTGGAATTAGACCCGGGTTTATAGAAAATTTATGTTTTTATTAGGAAAATCCAGCAGCTGAAGAGGTTTTTTTGTTATGATGATGGCTTTTATAAACCTGGGGTTTATATTCAGGGTGCATTCAAATTCTGTTTTGTAAGCCTGGCTTTACATAAGCCATTTTAAAAACTGTCAGATTCTATGACATTTTTAAGGAAAAAAACAGCAAACCCAGGCATTATAAGTTCAAGTTGTACATACCCTCCCTGTTGGTAGAACAACATGATTTGGAGAAATGTTTTCTTTACTGTTTGGCTTCTTGCAACTGCAATGTTCTCATTCAAAATGGAGAAGGCCAGAGTTTTATTTGTTTTTGAGAAATCTGAGAGGTTGATTAACCACAGCTGGAGGAGTGGGTGGACTGTTTCCCCAGGACATGGGAGACCTACATTTAATCCTATACTTGAACTGAATCTGAAGCTCCCTGTTTTGGGTACCTACCCCCTATCATTTCACAATTGGAGACAGGATAGGGTCACTTGAGCCCAAGTGTAGCAACCAGAGGTGCCAGTCCAGCTCTGAATTTTCCAAGGGAAAAACAGCACCAAAACTGAATGTTCCTGGAAAAAAAAAAGTGTGGTTCCAGTTGGCATGAGCATTTTCTGCAAATTCAGAAAAAACATTCAGTCAAAACTCTGGTGGATTGGCTCTTTGTTTTGTAGGTGTAATGTGTAGTTTTACACATTTTCTTGTGTCAAACTTGGCCATGACCGAACAGAGCATGAGAAAGTAGTAGACAGGTTTGATTTAAAGTGATAAGATAGACATAAGTGGTTAAATGAATTTTACCCCTCTGATAGAGAGTGGAACTGAAAATGTTTCAATACATCTAAGCAGGTGACTGCTTCAGTTCTTGTCTAAGAACAGATATACTGAATTTGTAGAAAATGTGGTCTGCTTGCTGGCCAGTGTCTTATCAGAAAAACTGTGGTCTGAGACCGAAGTTTAGAGTGCTATTTCTATTTAGACTTAGAGGTTAGGGCTGCAGAGGAGCATGAAAGAGCAATCTTTGGCCTATGGCCTATTGTCTTTATCCCTGTATGAGATGTCACTGTCAGCTTTTTGCTATATATCAGAAACTCAGTTTTCTTCTTTTAATTCTCTTCTTCCCCATTGAGACAATCTTGTATTTCTGAAATAGTTCCTGTTATGTTAGCAAAGTTTCTTTTAAATATATCTGAAGCACAGTGGAATTTTTTGGTTTTGTGAAGACACGGGGATTCCTCTTAGCTGCAGCTCCAAATTCCCTTGTTGCGTCTGCTGGTTTTGCAGGGAAGAAGGTCTAAGACATTTTCCTTAGAGTGGAGGTCAGGCAAAGAAAAAGCCGGAGTTGGGAAGACCACTTGTCACACATTAATTATCTTGGCCTTTCTGGTAGTGATATGAACAGGAAAAAAGAAAACTCTTGTTGGAGCCAGCTAAGGATTAAGCCACCCCTTCAGACATGCCATCAGTTCCAGCCATCTAGCTCAGTGTCAGGCCATGGTCTACTGAGATCAGATCTAGCACCACAGAAGAAAGAGACTGTTTTTCTTATTCCCCAAATACACCCTTTTTCTCTGTTAAGGGATTTTTCAAAGGCGATGCTGAACAGAGAGTGGCTGTGGGCACTGGCACACCTGCCTTCTTCTCATGACATACAGGAAACCACCACCAACCAGCTGACTTCTGGTGGAAGGTTTAACCTGACAAGTGAGAGGGGAAGGCTTGAGTCAATGTGTGCAACATGCATGTGTTTCATCACACACTGAGATATGGGTTGTATGGCCACACCATTTTTTTTGTTCCATGTACCATGTTATTTTGGATCTGGTGGAAAATTGGGTGGAGAAGGCAGCCAACCCATAAAGATAAGTGCTTGTGCATGGGTGTATATGCATATGCTAATCCTCTGATATGTTTTCCTGCAGGTAGAAAGAGCATATGGAAAAGAGAAGCCCAGGGCAGGAAATCAATGAGCAACTCCTGTTCCACTGTATGAATCCATCTCATATACCTGTTGTCTGTTAGCAGAATTTTGGCTGGAGGTTCTGTGAGACTCATGGGAGTGTATGGAAAATGTGTAAGGGTGTGGGCTGGACCTACATCAAAATTCTTGGGGGGTTTCAAGAATGCAGAGAAAATGCTGTGCTTTCTACTGTGTGGGTCTGATCCTAGCTCTTTGGACCTTTCACAACCAGTAAAGCAACAAAAGTCAGTGGTGAAAGCTGCTAGATCAGCCCCATCTGTTGATGGCTTAAAACAAACTCAAGCAGAAACACCTGGCAAGGATACATTTGGAGCTACCTGGATAAGAAAGAAAAGAAGGTGCTTGTTGAGGAGTTGGCTGCCAAAGTGCAGATAGCAGATTGTTGTTACTTTGGTTTATGCATTTTTTTACCCATGGCTTTTTCTGGTCCCTAGGAAGCTGCTTTGCCAGAGATGCCACTTATTCTCATCAATACCATCCACTCAGCACAGACCACCACAGCATGTTTGTCACTGAAGTTCTTGTTGGAGATTTTGTTTCAGGGAAACCACGAGTACTGTTGCTCTCCAACTAGACCTGGGATTTCAAACAGACTTTTGAACAGCTGTGTAGATAATGAAAAAATATCCTTTCATCTTTGTCATCTTTGAGAAACACCAGATTTACCTGGCATATATCTTGGAGGATACACATTCATTCTGATGAAGATGATGTTGGCGGTAGCAATATCTTGCCTGGAAACAACACTTTAAGGCTTGACTTTTTTGAGCTCTGTGTTGCATGTAAAAATCTCATGTCTGACATTCAGCTATACTGCAGCTGTTTCACTTACAGGAATGAAACTACAAGTACAGTAACTTGAGGAATGGCTGGGTCCTCCAAGAGTTGTTTTCCTCCCAAACTGGCTGGTAGCAGTTAAATCTTAATAAATAATATAAGCATAACAACATGGTGATGATTTGGGTACAAGTGCAATATAGATTTAAATGTGAATTGTGGTTAATTTCTAAAACTAATTGCTTCCATGTAAAGTATGGTACATAAGTAGATGTTTTTTAGGTCATGGGGAAATGAATACAGAAAATGGGGAAAATTGAGTATAAAAAGCATGTTTGAGGGGTGACTCTCTAGAGTTGTTTTTCCACAGAAAGAAGATCATCAGTGTCTTGTCAGTGTAAGAAAAGTAGACAATAGACTCTGAGCTGTTTTTGTCCTGTGGTTTGGCTGCTTTAAATTTTGTGGCAAGAAAAGGCTTTTAGATCATATCCTAAAGGACTGTTACATCATGTTCCCTAATTTCTCTGCTGGTCCCATTTGGTTATCTTGCAATAAGAATCATAAGGACTCCAATTCAGATGGAAAAAAAAAAAGGTTATTCCTGGATAACAAAGAGGCAAATGACTCATTGGTCTTCCTCAGTCTGTCTTGGCCACTGACTGTGTGCTGAAGCCAGAGCGATGGGACCCATCTCCATCTCTTCTGCAAGAGCGGGGAGATGCCTCAGGCTATACTGCAGTCCAGTCATACCACAAATCAAAACAACAGTAATTTCCTGCTCTTCTAGAAAGAGTAAAGTTGTTATTTTGAGCTGCCTGTGCCCTCCTGAACTGCAGGATGGGCTGGGATCTCGCTTTAAGCTTATGCAACCTTCCTATACTGTAAGATTATGTAACCTTCCTCCCAAAACTCGAAGTAGGAGTATGAAACCTTCCTTGGATTACACCAGGATATCGTAGTTGACTTTTCGTAGGTGTTGCCACACAGGTGTGCAGCAGCCTGCTGTGTGCTTGGCCCTCCCATGCTGTGGGCAGCTCTGGCGTGTTTGGATGTTAAACTGGATCGGGGAGGGGGGAGCAGAGTGGTGGTGCCTTTGCAGAGAGCTGTTGCTCAGTTTTTGCTTATGGTGAGGGAAGAGTAAGTAATGTAGAAATGAGGAGACAGCAAGCTCTCCTGTGCTTGCCTGAGGATTGGTTATGGACCAGCTGGAAGCAGCTCCCTTGAGTTCTGCCCTGGTGCCTGCCCTTACACTCAGCTGTCCTCCATGTGCAGCCCTGGCCCCTGTGGGTCTCGAAACACTTCAGCAGACCCATAAAGGGGCCAAGGGTGCAGGGCACCATGGCTACTTTCTGTCACATTCTCTCTTCTGGGGATGTTGTCTCCCGCTCTTGCCCAGAGCTGAGTTTGGGATCATAATGTTAGAAACACCTGAGTGCTGGCGGCCCCATCCTGGCTGTCCACTTGGAAACACCGTGAGGAGTTCTGCAGCCTCTGCCAGTGGGACACCCTGGGAATGTAGGATGATGATGTTAGAAAACATCCTGGGAACCCCCTAACTAATGCTGGAGATGGAGTTTGCTTTATTCCCTGATCACTGCCAGGACTTCTCACCCTGTTTTTCTGTGTCAAGTCGACCTGTCCCACTGGTGACACTCTATCTCAGACCAGAGCTTCCCTGGGCTTACCTCAAGAGAAGCAGGGATATTGCAGCTTCCAAAGTTAGATCTCCACCATGCCATGACACCAACAGTGAGGAAGTCTGTGGTGAGCTGAATAATGGCACATGACAGCATCCCATTGGGGCTGTAGAGCCAGTGGCTGCAGCAGTGAGGGGTGAGGTAAAGGGGGTTTGTGAGGGGTAGCCACTGGCACAGCCACCCCCTTCCCACCCTGCAGACTGAATCTGGCAGTGATTATTTGGAACTACCCTGTTGCTGCCTGGCACTTCTCTTGATGATTGAGAAGTTTTCCAGTGATGTGTGTTCTGACTGGGATGGATGAGAGATTGTTCTGAACTTTCAGCTTATTTAATATTTTCTGTAGGAAATCTCCAAAGTAAATTAGCCCCTGGACTGAACCTTTGCATTTGATTTAGTTCTACTGTCTTATCTTTTTGAGGGGTGTTGGGGGATTTGATCAGAAACTGAAGGTTTTCCTTAAGCAAACTAGAGCTCACCAGGAGCATTTTGGACAGAGGATGTGGGTCTCATTTATCACAGTTAAGCACAGGGCTTTTGAAAGCAGAAGGTAAAAGTACATTGGAAGGGGTGATATTTACTATACAATAACTCCAGTTGGTGATAAGGCTGTTCTTTTAACTGTCTCTCCAATAAACAGCATACCAAATCTAAATCTGTTCTTGCTCTAACCCACCTGTCTTGCTTGGTGGTGTTGGGCTTTGCTGGGAATGTAGGTGCTTTGCACTGCACGTTAATCAAATCTTGTATTCCTAATCCTGAAGTGTTCCTGTCTGTATGGATAGCAAACATTTCTATGCGTGACAGTCTGAGGACCCCATTTTACTGATTCTCTAGTTTCTGAATAAGGGCTGGAGGTGCAGATATGTGGGTGTCTGAGATGGACTCTTGCCATTACTGGGTACAAATATTTTATCTGCAATGCAGAATACCCCCAAGGGTTTTTAGTTAACTGCTTCCTGTGAATGACTGCACACACACACAGGAGTCTGCTGCTATGTTTTTTATGGAAGTCACATTTCAGACTCCCAGTTTAACAAAAACACCCTGCATTGACAGGCTTGTAACAGAGCAAACACTGTTAGTTAAATCACATGCTTGCTTCCTTCCTGCTCTGTTGTTAAACCTTGTAACTCAAAATCCAGTCATCTCATTTCAGGCTTTTCTGAAAGTGAGGAGGGAGATGAGTATACTTTAATTTTGCCAAATGCTATTGCATAAAGCATTTTGTGCTTTTCAATGTTTGAAGACTTCTTTGCTAATGAAGTGCTGGAAAGCTGAATGTAATATCTTGCAGTTTTGCTGTGCATCTTCCTCACTCTCCAGAAAGCTTTCATGCAAGGGGTACCACAGCACTGGAGGATACTGTCCCTCCACGTGGTCAAATCTGAAAGGGACTATTAAAAATGTATTGTTATATTTTGATTCAATAATTGTGTGATAAAGTTAAATAGTGACTTCTGTTCATTGAGGTGCAGGAGGAAGTGAAAGAGATGGACTTTGACTGGTACTGGGGAATACCTGCTGACCACGGATGGCACAGCTGGTTCCAATGTATTTACTGGAAGAGGGTTTGGTGTCTGACAAGTAGATAAGACGTTGTCTAACCACCTGGAAAGCCCCATGTAGCTTAAAATGATTACTTATTTACCTTGCCCACAAATAAACTCACTGTGTCACTATAATAGAGAGGTGACTGTGATAAATGTAACTATTTTCACTTTGTGGGATTTATAACCCTCATGGGAAATCATTACTTCTTGTTCCTGCAGGCCTAGATAAGTTTTCTGCAAGTCTAGATAAGGTTAATAGAAAATGCTCCAGTTTAGTATTAGGGCGTCATATAATTGTGTCACTTTTCTGGCACTAAGTATAGTTTGGGAGTTCAAAAAATACTTTAAAACAATTAAAATTTCCTTTAAAATAGTTCTGAGTAAAATAATAATAATAAAAGTAAAAATTGTACTTAAGGACCCAGAAAGCAAGGCAGAAAGAGAAATAAAACCAGTGGTCTTCCTGTGGATTTCAGAATTCCCTTTGCACTCTTTAAATTGTCTTTTTTTTTTTTTTTGAAAACACGTCTCAAGCCCAAAACCACACAATCAACAACTCCCCAGTCATCTTTTATAGTGAGGTGGCAGCCAGAGCAGGGTTAAGGTAGTTTAATGTTATCCCTTTCTAATTTAATTACTGTTTATTTTTAAATACTCTGTTGCTTAAAACAGAATTGCAGCTCCAGTCCATATTTTTCTCTCGGAGGGAGTTAACTTTTCAGGGTAAAATTAAGCTCCACTGCTTAAAAAAAATTAAGTTTTTATTTGAGTACTTCATATTACAACAGGAAGGAGCAACACTAAACCCCTCAAACCTCTGCCCTCTCAAAATTGCTAGCAGGTTAGAAAGCTGACTCAAATGTTGGGTTTCACCCAGAAAGCTGACTCAGGTGGAATCACCTGGCTGTAGGTCAAAGCCTTTGCCAGGATGCCACCTGCATGAACAGTACCAATTAGATGTTAGATCTTGTGTGAATTACTCAACTTCTCATTTGCTGTCTTTAAAATGTAGGTGTTGAGATGGCTATCACTGATACCGCTGGTGTGGAAAGATCTTTGAATATAAAGGCTAGATCTGCAAAACTGAAGTTTACAGCAGCAAATTTTAGATCTTCAACAACCCTCCCTAATTTTCAGAAAAACAGAAATCAAGTTTTTTAAATCCTAAGTTGAATAGTAAAGAGAAAGTTTTCTCAAACCAGCCAGAAACATTTATTTGTTCCTTGACACTTATTTACATCAGGTCCTCTCCAGACGATCTTGGAGACAGAGCTAGTAAATGCGAGCTGTACTCTGAGGTCTGAGGTGCATCAAACACGTTCATTAATATGTCATTGTGGCTGTTTTATACAAATTTGCTTTGCCATCAAATGACTGTTTCTCAAGTAGACATACTGTAATACAAGGACAAAACACTGCCTATTTCTCAGAAGGTGCCAGGTCTGTAAAGACAAGCACCTCAGATAAGTTAAGCAAGACAATCTAAATGTCAATATTTAGACTCTAGAAAATGTATCTCCATCAAATACGCCAGACTCCTTCAGAATATTGAATACACCAGAGCAATATTGCTCTGATCTGCACCTCTCAGTCTCTACTGTTGGTCAGGTTGGTTCATTGTTCAGAAATCTTTGAATATTCCATGAAGCAGAGGCTGAGATTCAACAGACCATCGCACAGGAAGGAGTACACTGTCTATATAAACCTCAAATACTTATAATATTTTATGGAGATATATTTTCTAGAGTCTAAATATTGACATTTAGATTATCTTGCTTAACTTAGAATAATATCTAATAAAATCTAATCATGCATAGTTTTCTTTGCTATGTACATAGTTTTCTTTCTTGTCTCACTGGTTCCAGTAAGCCTTTCTGTCCTTGTGTGAACATTCTCTGTACCCTGTTTCTTTCTTGCACAGGTTGTTGTCTTTACACAACTTTTACTACTCCATAGTTATTATCAGAAGAAAAGGGAAGGATATTTAAACACATGCTAAAAAAGTGCTGTGTTTTTTTTTTTCAAATGTCATTTGAACATATTGAAAAAATACAGCAATTTACTAAATTAACTATGAATTAATTAAAAACAATTTTTATTTGAATAAATTCTGGAACTTTAGTTTCAGAGTAGCATACATAAGTACATAAACATGTGAAATTCTTCAGCCCTGACCAGACAAAATACCTTCTGGCTGAAGAAATGGATCATTCAATTTTCAATTTCTTTCTCCATTCTTCTTATCAAGCATTTAACAACATGCAGACCTAAATAAATGACATAGACAAACATCTGTCCTTAAATAGCAACAATTCCACCTGTTCAATAAAATTGTTTTTCTTCCACCACACTGGACCTTGAGTTCACAACGCAAGGGCTGGGCGAGCAGATGACAGCACATAGAAAGATCCCCATTTATTGAGACTGGGGATTACCATCTGGTTTTCTCCTTCTGCTACAAATTGAGTCTTAATAGTAGAGGGGGATGGGTGGGTGTGTGCTCAAAACACAGAAAGAACACAACATCATTTCTCTACCTGAGTAGATCTTGCAACTATTTCTTAATTAGTATTTTAAAATACTCAATCCCTTTTAGGACGATGTATTTGCCTCTTAATTGCTCTTGTTTTGTAAAGTTGCGTGAGAACCAGTTCTGTGTCTTAGATCACACTCATCTGGATCTTATTTCCTAATGTTTCTGAGAAACAAATTAGTGAGTGCCTCCTTACTGAATGAATTAATGAGGATTCCCAGTTCATTATACAGTTATTGAGGTAATAGCTATGTTTGCTTTGGGTTTCTTAGTGTGGGCAAGGCTCCCAAAAGTGATACTACTGATCTGAGGAGTTCTGTGTGCCATTACAGTGATGCTCCTGCCACTTCACTTGCTATTTGTTTCAGCTTCTTAGCAGCTGTAACAATGGTCCATCAGATCCCAGGTATCTCGGAAGGATTTTGAAAACTCAGTAGTTTGTACCTGCTGGCCATACCAGAAACACTTTAGTACCTACTGGCCTTTCTAGGCCTTTAGAAATAAACAAAACGTTATCTTTGAGTTTCAAAAAGCTTAGCCTGTAGTGCACCTGTTCTATCTTTCAGAGGCATGTTTTGAATTTTAGCGTGTCAGCACAGTGCTATTCCTTTTATTTTAGCTCCTCTCTAATCTCTAGAATCGGGTACTTTCTTACCTCTCTCCCTCCTTGCCTCTCTTTCTTCCACTCACCATGTTTTTATTTTTTCTGTTTCCTGGCCCTTAAAAATATTAATTTTATTAGATTAATTCTAAAACTTTGTATACAGTGATAGGTACTCTTGAACAAACATATATAGATAAGCACACACTCAGTGTGAATGTTAGTATATGTTAATACAAACTTTTTTGCAAATGAAAACTGAGCATTTTTTATTTGCAGCTTTATTAGTCAAAAATACATTTGCTGTACACTGTTAGGGCTTTACATTTCTGTGAATGAACCTGAGATTACACGAGGACTTAGAATAAATCTTGCGATAAGGGCATAAGACAAAACAAAGAGGGTAACTTATGTTACTTATGTTTTAAATGTTACACGTTTAAAAGGAAAGCTCCCATCTGCAGGGGTCAGTCATCCATTAGCCTCTACTCAGATCCCCCTCCTAGGAAGCATGCCCAAAGTGCTTTCTGATGGATCACAGTGCTGTTCTCTCTGGCTGCAGGGAAGCAACTCCTCAGGCTTGGGGGCTGTTTTAATGAAACAGCTGAGGAGGGCAGGCAGAAAACACCTTCCACAGTTCTTCCTTCTCTAGAAGTCCTCTGCCACCTCCCTCCCCAGCCTCCCTGCAGCCATGGGTTTGCATCCTGGAAGCAGGAGAAGAGAGTACAGCAAGGGCCTGTCCTGTTGCAGTGTGTTTCACAGGAAAAGAAGAATGAGACAGACAACAATAATTGCAAAATATCCATGCTCTAAAATCAGGCAAACTGCCAGAGAGCTCTTATGAAAAAAAAAAAAAAAAGAAGCTAGAAATTCAACTCTCCCATGTAAACAGCTTCCTTTCAAAGTCAGAGTCCGGGGCATACAGGCACACATTCATATAAAGCTAGTCTTTTCTGCTGTTCCCCAGCAGTCTTTAGACATCAAATATGTACCACCCACCCAGTGTCAGTGTCAGCATTGTTTCTGTCAGCAGTGTCATAGTCTCTACCAAATAATGCAATTGGGCACTGTGATAGATCTGTTTGTTTTGAGTAATTAATTAATCTTCCCAGGGTCTGTCTTCCCATGCAGGAGGAAAGGAATTGTTATCAGAAGGTAGTGCCTGCCAGAACACAGGGCACCCTCTGACAAGCAGGACCTCGGCCCCACCAAACATCCCCACGCCCTCAGAACAGAAAACTCAATGTTCTGTATTCTTAAGGCTTGGAACAAGCAAATATTTCATCACAAGCTGTACATTTCTAAATTGATCTGTCTTGCACAACATCACTATGCATTCAGGCAGCTCACTCTAATTACCACTTTACAACATTTTGCATCTGCTTCTGTTAAATCACTGAAGTTCCTAGTATGTTTTCTTGAGTTGTTTTATTTTTAAACAAATTGTTTTTGTGACTGGCTGTCAACAACTGCACTGTTCATTTTACGCAGTTTGAATACACTAATTTTCTGCAGTGTGTCCTGATACTGCAGCTCAGCTTCAAACCTGAACCCACAGAATTCTTTTGATGGGCTGTTGATTAGGTTTGTGGGTCATCCCTAATTTCAGTTTTTTCCCCCAGACTCATAGAATTTGCTCTTGAATAAAAAATAATACAATTTATGCCCTGACAGAAGTATAACAATGGTTAGTGGGTCTTTTACAAGGTTTTCCCAGTGTGCCAAGGAGATCTCCAGCCTCAGCCAGAAGCAGGCTGGTGCATGTGGGTGAGATGTTTCACTCTTTGGAGTTAGCTGGTGTCACCCACCGCATCAAGGTGGGGGCCGGTCTTTTCTTCCAGGTAACAAACAACAGGACAAGAGCAAATGACCTTAACTTGCACCAGGGAAGGTTTAAATGGGATATCGGAAAAAATTTCTTCACTGAAAGGGTTGTCAAGCACTGGAACAGGCTGCCCAGGGAAGTGGTGGGGTGACCATCCCTGGAGGTATTTACAAGATATGCAGATGTGGCACTTAGGGACATGGTTTAATGGTGGACTTGGCAGTGCTGGGTTCATGGTTGGATTCAGTGATCTTAGAGATCCTTTCCAACCTTAATGATTCTATTGTAGATTCCATCCCATTTGGAGTAAAATAATGAAAGCTCAAAGAAAACACAGAATAAAAGTACGATACTTTAAAAAGTGGTATTGTAAGTTTATTTTTATAGTTCTAAATTAAATGCCTTTTCTATTACATATTTCAATCATTTTTAAAAATAAGTATCCAATGAAAAAACTGTCTAATATATCTCTGAAGAAATATCTGTTGAAAACAGTCTACTGCAAAGTTTCTGATGTTCATGTTCATAGATATCATCCTGGTTTCTTTCTTTCTGTGGTTCATCAGTGCATGTTGTTAAGTGTGAATTTGTTAAATTTAGTGGGTTCTTTCCTCTCTAGATTGTACCAATAGTAATTTCAGATGGCACTACATTGCCACAAACTTGGGCAGACTGGCATCCATTAACGGTGACATGCTGGGACTGGTTGAGGTGCTCAAATTGATGAGGACACCTGTATGGTCCTCCATTCTACTATTGGTGTTTAAGAACATTCAAGTCAACAATTAAGCAATTAGATACATGTCAGTATTTGCTTAGTCTTATCTTCCTGAAAAAAAATACCTAGGCAGTATCAGTTTGGACAAAACTCAGATATTAAATACTCCAAGTGAAAAAGTTGGAAATTTGTATATTTATTTATGCTGACATTCTCTCATGTTGTTCTGTGTGACAGTGTTATTGCTGACAGCAACAGCAGTTGTTCATCAGCAGCCAGCATCGTTACTGTGCTCTAAGCAGTAAGGCATAAGCAAACCACCAGTGATATATATTGCATTTAATAATTTTCAGCTGCAAGCAGGACTCAGACACCTTGATTTTAAGGTTTAGCTTTGGTAAAGTATTATTTTGAGACTGCTAAACAATAAAGTCATAAGTTGTCATATCGTGGTGGGATTCCACACTTTTCATGACTAGGTGGGTGACAAAGATTGCCCTGTCCCTGACAGGTGGTGTGTCCGGAAGGCTGCGATGGTGCGTGTCCCTTGGGCAGAGAGGGTTAAGCCATGGAGACTGCCACTTTAAACAAAGGCTTGATTCATGTCTTTTCTTCCTTGAAGGGAATGAGAGAAAGAAACGTAAGTAAAATACAGCAAAAGCTGTTGTGAAACAAACCCGTTGCTGTTCTCTGAAAAACAAGTATGTGAGGATTCATTTTTAGAGGCGCGCTGAAGCAGCGGGACACCAGGGGGTGGCCGCAGCCACTCTTCCTCCAGGGGCTGTCACTGCCTTGCCAATGCCAAGGACTAAAATTGTCCGGCTTCTTAGAAGAGGACGTGGTCCTGACTGTGTGCCACAAAAAATGTCTGCTGTGCAAAACCACAAGCTATTTCCCACTCCAAAGCAAAATCTTTAATAGTAGCTGTTCTTGCAGTAATTGGTGGATGACTGCTGTGCAAAGAGGACTCCTTTCTGTCAGCATATCGAGGCTTGCAGGGTCTGGGGGGTGTCTGCAATCTCAGACAGGTGTTTGTCTGTGAAAATGAACATTTATTTCATGGCCAACTGAAAGGTCAGTTTTCATCCAACAATTAAAAAGTCAAAAAAGCAAACGCATCTATGGAAAACAGCTGATAATAAGTTTCTGTGGCTCATAGCAGTGTTGACAAATTTTACCACAGACAATGAGTTTTTTGATTCTGGCAGCACTCCTTGACCATCAAGAAAGTAGCTATTACTGAAATTTTTGGCGTTGATTTATTAAGGGATTTTTATTTAGAATTTGGACATTCAGAAGCGTGGGACTGCACTTCTTGAAACTGGAGTGTATTGCTCTTACCTGCCTACATGGTTGTAAATACATGCATCTTAGCATACAGCTCCAACAGTTTCTTGCAACTGCACCAAAATGTGCTTCTAAATGAAAGTCTGGAAGTAATAATTAAAAATTTCAAATAGCCCTAGGTAAGATCATGAAAAATAATTTGGAACATAGAGAGCTGTGCACTTTATGTTTCATTGTATATACATATGCATGTATATATATATAGATATGTATCATTGAAAGCTGCTAAATGAAATCACACTTCATTAGGCAAGTTCTGTAGGAACACGGAGGAATATATGTCTTCATATTTTGAAAAAATGTGTTTATGATACTGCTACATCACAACTTTTAAAATTGCTTTTATTCTGAAACACATAAACTTTAAATGAGACTTTTCAAAACAGGATTCAACCTTTTCAATCCAATTGCAACATGTTTTATTTGAATACACATACTGAAACACAAAATGATGACAATAATTATTCCTGGAATGTATTAAAAAGTTGATCCGTATGCATAAATTGAATTATGGCTCTGGCAAAGGTGCAATATAAGCAAACAGACATAGTATAAACACTTAATACTCCTCTAGCATCTACTGCCAAGGTCCTCTAATGATTTTAAATCAGTTCAGACTGTTGCTGTGAGATAGCCTGCCTGTACTCGATTACATATGCACAAAAATAAGAAGATTAAAGAAAATGTCAAGAGGACAAAAGGGATTTCTTGAAAAAGTTAGTGAGGAAGGGCCAGGAGCAAACTTAGTGAAGATGGCACCAGCTGCAGTTTCAAGGACTGACTGTTCAAATTCCTTGAGCAACGCGGAGAAACCATAGGGGAACCCAGCTGCCAAGAAGTCTAAAGGCATTTCAACAGCACATTTGTGAGGAGTAATTTTGCAAAGACTTATAAACTGACCACACTAGGCAGGTTTTCCTGGGATTAGCAAAAGACATGGTCTTGCCATGAAAACTGCTGCTCTGCCAGACCTGATGTTCTGCTACAAAGCATAGTTTTCCTCATGGAATAGATGTTATAATGTTCCTTGGATATTAATGTTGTTAAATAACAACAATAACCACAAGGAAACAGCTCTCCAACATGGAAAGTTTCAATATTTGCACAGAACAAAGCTAGCTGCAGTGGAAATCAAGGTGTTAGAATGGCAGGGATGAAGCAACCCAGTAGTAGTCAGTGTCGTGTCCTCCACCCACTGCAGGGACATATCAGTGTGTATGTTTTGTTGCTATGCCAGCTACAAGTCAGTGCTGAAAACTCACTGCTCACCTACAACTGTGTGCTTCTAGTAAGTAAAGACAATTAAAAAAACTAATGGAAAGTTCTGTCATAAAGTGGGGTCACTTCTTTGACCCAGATGAATGCCATGGGGGTAGATGCATTCAAGACTGGGAGACACATCCATCTTGCAGTAATAAGGAACCACCAAAGCCAGTGAGAATAGCCTGGACTGCCAAAGCCTCCTTGCCCCTGTCAAAAAATTGTGTCATTTAAATGAATGTTGATCTTGTCGCAGGACTCAAGGACTTGATCAAAAAAAAGGGAGATTCCCCCAGACATTGAATTTAAATAACATGATGGTCAGTTTGTGAAGAACAAGACAAATGACCTAATACAAGTTTTTACCTTCAGTCTGTAGGAGGTTTACTCAGAACGCTGGCAGCAAATGTAGGATGCACTGTGATGTTCCTGACCTGGGGAAGAGGCTTCAGTTACATTTTTCCTATGTCTTTGGAGTCTTTCTCTCTAGGACATCCTCCACAAACCATGTCCAGAGTGCCAACTGCATGAAGAAGAAGAGGGATACTTGGAAACCATATACAGATGGACTGAACCAATGACGAAAAAGGGGAGAGAAAGGATAGACAGCCTGTAGGTGATAGAGTATGTGTTCTAAAAATCCAGACTGCCTTAAGCTAAAGTAAACAAAGCAAGCTGGGGAAAGTTACAATGGTTTAGATTTTCTAAGTGCAAAGATTTTTATTTTATTTTGAAACTATTTTCCCTTAAGGAATGTCCTTTCATTTTAATTTGCAAAAGGCTGACAACTCATTCTATGAAAACTGTTCCCTTTTGCTGGAAAGAATTAATCTTTTTTTTTTTTTTTGGCTAATCCAAAACGTTATTTTCCCCTCTCATATTCATCACCCACCTTTCAGTATAACTTCCTCACCATTTCAGTCCAATACTTGATGGGTATTTAGAACAAAATTTCTCAAATGGACAGATTTTCTCATAGTTGTTCTCTTAGTATTTTTGCCAAATAACCTGATCTGATCTGACATAGCAGTTTGTGTGCTTCAGGAATATAACTTTCTCAAGTGCTCAGATAACATGAAATGAAAACGGCGTCTAACTCAAGCTGCTCAGTGCCAAAACACAGTGCTGGAGGGAGAATAGGCAACTCATCGAGACCTATCCCCCTGTGCTATTAAGCTGTAGATGTTCAGTCTTGGTAGAGCATGCACAAAGCTCAAAAAGCTTCCCAAGGCCCTCAAGAAAACCTGGAGGTCTGTGGTAAAAGACCCAGCAACTTTCTATGTTATTTGATGAGAACAGGAGAGAGTGAGGGCACCCCGACCAGGACAGTTGAGTCCCTGTTGGGCAGAGCAAGAGGCAGAGACTGTGAAGGGCAGTAAGAGAAGATTTGGTTTAGACTTAGGTAAAATGCTTTGTACCAATAAAGACAATTCAACCCTGCTACAGTGAGGATCCCATTCAGTAAAATCCTTAAGAATATCTGTCAAAATGGTATAGTTGCTTCATCTGGAATTGGATGTTCTTCCGTGGTCCTGTCCAGATTCTTCTCTGCGTTTTTTCTGTAGTTAACAAAACATTATTAGCTTTTTTTTTCCTCTCCTGCTATGATTTGTCTACAGTATTTCTGAAACAATTTTCCACTATTTCCTCTGAAAAAGCATTCCCTGAATGTTTAAACTCTAAGCCTCTAACTGGAGGAATAAAATAACAGCTGGAACATCTCCTGAGATTGCATCCACAGGAACAGGAAACCCTTAGAAGTTACAGGGACCCTGGGCATCTCCTGAAACTATGGCTTTCAAAAAGTTTAGCTGGATCATACCTTCACACCTCATCTCTGTAACCATCCCAAATTAGCTTGGGGGCCACTTAGCCCGTTTCTGGGAGCACATCTGTCCTAGCCATGCTCAAACCTGTCCCACTATCCACAAACAGATTCTCCAAAATCTTGCATTGATTAGCAATTCTCATAAAGGTGGAAACTCTCTGTGATGCTTGATCCAGGAGTGTGTGTTTGCTGATGGGCATAAGGCCAGTGTATGGGGGCCCATGAGTGCCAGTGGCACAGAAGGGACTCTAAGAGGGTGTAGACATCCACGTGGTGCTGGAGGTCGGTGCAGGCAGAGCACAGACATCAGCTGCAGCCCAGAGAGAGGCCTTACAGTGTTTTGCTCTTCTGACACTAGCAAACTGAATCACTGAGGTGAAGTCTGAGATCCATTTGTGTATTTTTCTGGGAACAGGAAGAGGAGCAAGTAAATAAGACTGGATGTGTTATGGCTAGCTGTCTTTTGTCCTGTTTGATCACTTGAAAAGACAAATAACTGCTTACTTTAGGCTATTAGGCATGTTTGTTACACATAAAGATTCATGGACTTTCTTATGCTTTTTTTTTTTAAACTTGCTAGAATTATACTGAGTATTAATTAAAATTCTGTGACTGCTTGAATGAAAAAAGGGTTAGTATCAAAGCACTAGTTCTCTACACCATGCTAATATAATGCTTCCTTATAGTAAATGAAAACACACACTCACAGAAGAGAAATGTAGATAAATAAAGTGATAATCAATGGCAGATTTAAATATAGATACATGCATAAAGAAATAAAATCTCACAACTTTATTATAATTTATTGTCAAAGCAAAAATATTGCCAGAGGAGCAGTTTTTCATAGGAGGGAAAAATACTGTAGAGCTGTAACAACATATCATCAACCTTTACACCTTGTTCAGAAGAGGAAAATTTTATTAGATTACAAAAGGCCAAGTAATTTTATTCCATTAATAACTAGAAATGCAGAAAACAACAACTCACTGTGGGCAAATCCTGAGAACTGACTCATCTCAGAACTTGTTCAGAGAAACGATCTGAACTAATTTATTCACAGAAGGTTCATATTGAACATTGCACTCAGTAACTAGCAAAATACATTTTTAAATTATGATCACTTATGGCGTAGAAAAAGGAAACAGTTGCAAAAAGTAAAAAAAAAAAAAAGAGGTCATTTTGCACATAAATATCTTTTGTGCATCTCTCTGTCAGGACCTTTCAGCAAGGGGCAACTTGGTGGGGCAACTGATCCCAGCAGGCATGCAATCTTCGGGAAATTAGACCAGATGGGTGGAAAGTCCCATCTTAGTGCATCATAGTAGTTACAAATAGGCAAGAACAATTGCTTGTAGGATCCTGGGAGTGCTCTTTGGGTTTCCTGCTATAAACAAGAGGCGGTTAAAGACAAGCCATCTTTAAGCTTCATGATGAACTGAAGCACTGAACTGGGTTGCCCAGAAGGCTGCAAGAGTTCTCTGGCAGAGGCTGTCGAGATTTGTCTAAACCACGTAACCTGAAAAAGAGCTGTGGAAGCACAGGTTCAGCAGAGCTCCTGAAACCTCATGCAAGGATACTTCCCCTAAAAATGTCAAGGAGAGCAAACATTTTAAAGTCAAAAAAGGGTGTAAACCAAGGTCTTCTGTGCTCTTGCTTAATGCTCTGCTCTGTTTATTGACAGGAGAAGTGAGTTGGCTAAAAGGTGGTGGAAATTCCTTTTGTTCTTCTCACTGAGTTTCTGAAAGACCAAATACTTATTCTCTGGATTTTCAGAGGGAAAACCTTCGTGTTCTTCTTGAGAAGCAAGGTACATTGGAAATGGGAGCCTTCCTACAACTGGGACATTAGTGTTTAATTCACTCTGGAAATAGACTGAGGCTTACATGCCTCTGAACTTTATTCTGACACCCATACCCCTACAGGATCCCTCAGGTCCTGCTGCCCACCAAAGCCAAGAGAACCTTAGATTCACAAATCCTGTGGGACCAAAAGTCAGTGATGCAGTGTTTAGCACTACAGCATCCAAGGCCCTCACCCTGCAAATTGAGATAGTAACTGATCTTCTTCCACCTACTGCTCTCCTACAGTGGGTAGGATGGCTCATAAGATCATAGCTGAATGGCCCTGTGCAGAGCACAGATTTATGCCATGGACCCACATGTAGGAGAAATATAGAGTGTTAAAAGTTATTTATCTCAAGCTTCTCTTTATGCCTTTTCTTACCTGCCTGCTTTAATTTTCAAGATTTACAAAGACATCTCAGCCCCAGAGGTGGGGGGATGTGTGTGAGGTGTGCCTGTACTGTCCAATACTTATGGGCATGAATTCACCCACTGTCTCCTGGTTCTATGGGGGCACATCCAGGCTGCTGACCAGGCAATGGGGCTGACAAGGCTCATGAGCATGAGCTGCCCCCACCTGCATGAGAAGCAGAGCTGTGCTCAAGTTGCTTTCCTGCAAAGCTGCCTGGTGAGACAGTCGATGACCAAGACATGCTCACTGCTGTAGGCTTTGGCTTCCTTGACTCAGGAAATACAGGAAAGTCAAAGGGGGAGGGAGTTACTTCACCTTAATGCCTGCAAAGACAGTGATTAATTTATTTATTCTTCTATGATCACCCTAGCCAGATGACTAAGGCAGATCTGCAGACTGATGACCTAGAAAGAGTAGAGATAAATTTCATATGTAGGGAAAAGAAAAAATAAGTTAAAAGCCATATGCAGACTGTTTCTTTCCCAAGTTCAGTGGTTTTACCTCTCAGCCCAAGCTCTGGCCAACACCAGGAATATAGCACAGAGACTTGCTCAGGGGCTTTTTTTTTTTTTCCTACCTCTTCCCCCTCTCAGGGTGAGGTAATTGAGGTTATCTACACCTGTGACTTCTGAAATTAGCAGTGCATAAGCTCATTACAGCTTCTGGGTCTCTCAGGTGGGAGTGTTAGGGTGGCCTGTTTTTTTTTTCTTGCTGAAGTTCAAGTTGCTGAGATGGAGGTTGCTGGTTTTACTGCACCTTTTCTTTCCCTCAGGTAAGGCATTTGTCTTTGCAGTGGCATGGAAAGAATGGAAGAGTGTGTAAGTCTGCTTTGGTAGCTGAGGCTGCTGAGCTCCTGCTGGGGAGGCAGGAACCTGTGAGGTGGCTGCAGTGACTTCTGAGGAACTGAAGATAGGCTGGAGGGCTGTAGGGGGAAAAGTGTTTCTTGTTGTAGCTTCAGGCCTATTTGTGAAAAAACTTTCTGTGAACAGAAAGCATCAAGCTACAAAGCAAAGTGGGTTGAAACAATCTACTGTAGACTAACTGGTTAAACTGTGACTAATATCAACCCGGTGCTAAGCTAATGCAAATGACTTTAGTATTTTGTTCGATTTTTTTATTGATTTTTGACTGCAGTGATATTCCATGGGAGGCTCTCTGTGGTGCAACTGTTGTGTTTGGGCTGTTGGGCTGCTCTCAGCCTGTGATTCCTTGGTGCCAGTGAAGTGTCATACATAGGGCTCTAGCACACAGGTTCTCTGGGTGCCTATGGAACCTGATGTGCCTCATCCCAGCACCTGCTTGTGGAAACGTGTCAGGACTCTGCAGAGGGCAGGATTTCTGGTCTGCCTGTGTGTGCATACCCATGAGAGGCTGCAATCGTAAATACACTCAACCTCCTGGCTGAAAAGATCCAAATAGCTTTTCTAGCTTTTTATCAAATGCGTCTTGAAAGTATTAAGCCCCAAGCAACATGTGACCCTAGCACTAGACAAATCTCTTTAGAGTCCTCAGTCATATAATCCTGTGTGCAGCATGCAGCGTAAGGTGGGAAAGTTCTCCTCTTCCCGTCACATCCATTTCCAGATAGCTAGGTAGTATCTAACACGGAGGTATTGGGTGTTCAAACCGCAACACCCTTGTTTGACTCTTTAGTGACTGTAGCCATGAATTCACAAAAGTGGCCCTGCATAGTTAAAAAGTCACATCATGACCAATCTTATGCTCTTTAATTTCCTCATATTTTTTTTTGAGGAATATTTCCTAAAATATGTGACTGTTTCCTCATTCCTGTACCATGATATAGGCTGTAAATGTAGAGGCTAATGCCTCTATATTGTTTGCAATAGGAGAATATTGGCTTCTCTTCCTACCACACTAAACAAGCTAGTCTTCATAATCCATCATCTGGCTTCCTTGGCTAACCCACCACAATCTTTACTCCTTTCCAGTCTTGATTCTGCCAGAGACTGTGTTCTGTGGGGTACCTTAGGCCTTTATTCCACACAAAGTTCATAAACCTTACAGGGTCAAAATTACTGAAAGGCATATAACATGGTTTCCTCATGCTTTCTCTCTTCTAATTAGTTTTGGTTTGTAACTCTCATGGTCTTGCACAGCCTATCCACATTTACACCATAAATGCTACAGAAAAGACATACTTTACACCCAATACTTTATTTAAATGCTGAGTTTTACCAGAGCTGGGAAATAGCTTAGGTGAGTGACCTTTCCCTGGAGATGGGTCACATCAGGGCCTCTTTCCTCAATGAACAGGAGAAATCCAGAAGAATGAAGACAAGTGTCTGAGCAATCTTTGCAGGGAGTGACAGTGGAAATCAGTGCTAAGCAGTCAAGTTTGATTGAATTAGTTGTTCATGCATGTGGCAAAGTGAAAGTTTGGAGAGCAGAGAACAAGAATGGATGTATTTAGCTGTAAAAAGGATCAAGGAATAAGGTTTGGAGGAGGCAAAGGTAATCACACGAGGTCAATCACTAATGCCTGTGGAGTGCTGGAGCAATTTGGTGAGAAAGAGGTGCAAATCAATGTCTTAATTCAATTGTATCTGCAGTATCTCTGTGAAGCCTGCTGGGGTATGTGTTTGGTCAAGGGATGCTGTAGGGCTTGCTCTTACTATAGTAATAAATCCTAGAAATGCAGTGAAACTCACATTTACACATATTGTGATGGAAGGGGTATTCACATCATCCTTTCCAAGATGGAGAATCCTCTCTGATAATATAACTGGTGTTGTGTCCAAAAGAAAGAGCAAAGAGAGCAATTTGCATAGTACGAGGAGGGAAGGTTTTGATCCCTGTTCTGTAGAAGTGTTTTCCTGTCACCAGTGACCACAGCGAGGTCTGGACTGCAAGTACATTAAGTTTCTCAGCTACCAAGTACTTCCCCCTTTCACCCCAATGGGTCTATTATGCAAAGTTGAAAGGTTCAGTGGGGTGGATGGAGCCAGATGTCTTCCAGAAGACTGTATTGCTTGGTAACTGGATAAGGTGAGACATGCAGGTTTAAACCCCATAAACATTTGAACTTAACTTGTTGCATCACTTGGTGGTGCTCTAACTGCCAAGGAAAGGGAGCTATAATGTCCCCCACCCTCCAACCATGCTCTCCGAGAGTGTTTTTATGGCCTCAAAGTCTTGTACACCCAGAGACCAGTTCTGGGAACTCAGGAGCTTAAGCCAGGACAGATGTAGATTGCCAAGAAACTTCATGACTGCTGGTGTGCTCTAAATGCCACAAATAGAAAAAAATTAGTAGAAATCCTAAATCATGTGGATATTTCTAATGTCACCTCCTACATTCCTGCTTTGTTGTTTCTTCTACTCTATACTGGGAGGACTGTACCTCACAGAGGACCAGAGAGGTAGCATTGGCTTGTTGAATGTGGGTGTGGATTTCTGATCCATGATTTAGAAGAACCCTTTTGAATGTTGGAGATTTCTCTTTGAAGTTTATCAAGCACAGATCAATATAGTCAATGAAATGCAAAGGTGATCCCCTTATCATCCTGTAGAAAAGCCATGCAGGACTGCAGTCCCACCACCGTGGAAAAGCAGGGATTAAGTGTGCAAAATATGCTGCCAAACAGCTGGTTTGGGCTATTCTGGACTGTCTGTGTCCACCAGTGCTGAATATGTGGGATGATGGGGTCACCTTGCTGGGAAACCTCCTTATTTCACACATGGGTGACTCTGGGTGCCACCCTGTAGATGGAAGCTGAGCCACAGTGGCATGAGGAGCAAGTAGTTTTCCTAAGAGATCACAGAGTTCTCTTGGCAACCTTTCCCCAGCATCTGTCCTGGCTTGGGAGAGAAATGTTGATCAGGCTAACCGGGGGAACAGAACACTTGGAATGTTTCCTTGCACTGAGGGCATGTGGCCTGTGTTTTGTTCATCTGTTCCTTGTGTCAGCAGAGTCGGTCCTGATTTGTATGTGCTGAAATGTTAGCAGGATCCTTCCCAGAGTCCTCAGCACCATGCACTTGCAGGGACTTTTCCTTGTCATGAGTGAGGTTGCTCTGAGACATGTTCTAGGTCATTATGAGCTCCCATTTAGCCTTTAATTGAGTGTGCATTTGTTCTAGTGCAGCATTTTGCCTTTGCTATGTTCAATGACCTTGGATTGATCTGAGACCTCCATTCAGGTAGCTCTGCAGTGTACAGAGCAGAAACTGAGCAGCTTGATCCAGTGGTGCCCCTCTGTGTCCATGTGTAAGTGTTTATACACACATGCATCCTCTTTCTTTGCAGCTCCTTCTCTCCTTCTTTTTCCATTTGGTTCTGCTTTGCATTTTATTTGCAATGTG